TCCGCAAAAAATTTGTAAATGGCATGCTTCAATATGAACATTTCAGAGTATTTGTGTGTCAATCTGAGGACAGTGCAAAGGATTCAGAAAGAGTTGGATGAGTTTAATGGTGATTATGAAGGTACAGCCGCTCAGAAAACTCACTCTGACCATTCTAATAAGAACTACCGAATTTGTTGGTGAGGGCCTCACACTCAACATGGAAGCCTATATCAAGTGCCTTGATAAGATAGTGCTGCCCTGGGTCATGAGTGTGGTTGCTGGAAGACCTCTGTCTGTAACAGGACTCTGCACCATGCCAAACAATCAGGAGAACAGAGCCATTACTGTCAGACAATTTCTACGACCACATTAACGCTTACATCTGGCCACCTAACACCCCAGACTGCTACCCACTTGATTATGTGTGGCGTGCAGTTGAATATAACACAAAAGATAAACTGAAGGCAAAGTTTATGTCGGTATTCACCAACTTAAACAAGGAGATTATCCAGAAGAGCTGTAGGAGATTCTGAAGTCATCTTGAGGCTGTGGTTTTAGCCAATGGCGATTTTATTGAATAAATTTATTTTTTAGTATTTCAAGATATTTGTGTGTGTGTGTGTGTATTATATATATATATATATATATATATATATATATATATATATATATATATATATATATATATATAATCTGTTAAAATATTATATGTTATTTTCATTTTTATGTAATTTTGATGACAATTTATCCATCATACTCTCTCTTTCTTTCTTTCTCTCTCTTTTTATATATATAATTAAAATGGTTAATAAATTAGCTGAAAGTGCTTAGGATAATGGTCACTACGGACAGTTTCTATACACTCTTAGTCCTCATAAAAGAAAAATTGTAAAGACACTTGAAAATCTTAACAAAAACTTAAAAAATATTCCTTGTTCATCATATTCAACAAAATATTTATAAAAGAATGATTGCCACCCAAATGGACAATATATATGTATTTTATCTTATACTTTTTATTTTATTTATTTTTATTTTTTTATTTTTTTTGTTGCTAATTCCAAAAAAAAATGTAGTTCAAAATATTTTTTAGGAATAGTCATTAATTTAATCTCAAAAAGCTCTGCAGCTTATAGCAGTGTGTGTATATATATATATATATATATATATATATATATATATATATATATATATATATATGAAACATTTGTGATATTGTAACACATTTTTTGTGTTTTTTGGGGGGGTTTTTTTTTTCTCACAAGACATATAAATGATATCTGGAGACTCTATCTCTTCTCGTTCCCCTCTTTTATTGTTGAAATTGTAACCCAGTGTCTTTGACAGTAGCCTTCAGAACAAAGAATTGGGAATTTGTCCTTAATTCAAGTGTAATCCAATCCTGTATATTTATTGTAATTAAGACTTTCTTTTTAAAAGAATGAAGGTGACATTTTCAAACACTTTTGATACGTAGTCAGATTTTATAAAATGCTTTTTCCATCAATGGAAACTCGAAACTTTTAACTCTAGTACATCAATAAAATAAGAGTGAATAGGAGTGGTTGTTTAATAATTACTTACAAATAAGTATTTTTGTTAGTTTTTTTTTCCCTTATTTGATTGTTTATAGCCATAGATTTTTAAAATGCATGATAGAATTTGTTTCCTCATTCCAGTTGTCAATATTTCACATTCAGTGATACTAAACATAAAATCAATGTCATGCATCAAGATTATCATATTTTTTATTAAAGGTTGCTTTGATAATTTTTGTTTTTACTAAATATTCACCAAAGAGCCACTCAAGGTAGAGGGGTACTGAATGAGATTGTCAAGAAAGTAAGATTATGAAGATATATAGGATAGATAATGGTTGACCTTTTGACTTGAGGAAGTCAAGGCTACAGCCACATCACATTGAAACACCAGTTTCCATGCAATCACCGAAGTTGAGCCTTGTCAGTACCTAGATGGGTGACTGCTTGAGAATATCAGTTGCTGTAAGCTTGAATGTGTGGGTGATGTAACGGATAATGGCTCCAAATTATTAATCAGAGAGCTAAGTTCCAATTCCCATTGGGTTTGTTATATTTACTTACTATATCATGAGAAAGGAAGGAATCCACCTCCCCACCCCCAGCTATCGGTTAATTAGTAAGACTTGTATCACTAAAACATTATTATCTCAAAAAAAAAAAAATAATAATTCTTAAAATCTAAAAATATTTCCTGGCTTTAAATAAACTGCAAAGAGTTAAGCTGTAGAAAAGTAATCAATCTAAAATTATTGAAGAGGTTATGATTATAGTGATTGTAAAACCATAAATTACTTAGTATAAAAGTAACATTTAGCAGGTAACAAAAGACTCAACCATCAAGATTATTATATTCTTTGCTAAAATGCAAATAACTTATTAAATAACTTATGAGAATCTAAATTCTTAATAATAAATATTATCTAGATGCTAGCATACATCCTTTTTTATATCTAGCCATAGCATTAATAAATATTTTATAACATTGCAGATGGATTATTATTATTTTATTTTAATAAGCCTTTAGGTTTCAAATAGATGAACCAGGATGATTATTTTTTTTTGAAGAAAAATCTAATGGGGACATCATTATTTCAACCACCCCTTTTATTAAATAGTTAATATAAAATGCCTAGATGTCTTACCTTTGATTACAGCTTAATCAATAAACTATGAATATATAGATTTTTTTTATTCTGAAATTAAATTATCAAATAGATTTTTTTTTAATATTACTATCATAAACTTACAGGTTGAATGTAGTAACAAGACAAGAATAATAAATTTTAAAAATTGTATTTGAAATGAAATTTTATTCATTCTTTAAAGCATAAAAGGGAATTTTAAACATAATTACCACTAGTTCATAAAATTTTGCTGATTTGTAAATTTTCATTGATTATTTTCTTAATTTCTACATATATAACTATGATTATCCACTTGGAAAAAAAAATATAATTTTATGCAAAAAGTCATTTCCAACTGTTAAACAGAGAGAGATTGGAAGTAACTACAAGAGTTTGAATAATCAATATTTGATGAATAATAAGAGCAAGGGACTTTATTGATTACCTTCAAGTCTACAGCCTGTCCGAAGTTGTTATGCAAATCAAATAAACCTCAATAATTTTTTTAGATGTTTGAAATTTATGAACATAGGCTGACTGAAGTTAGTATGAAGATTAAATTAATATTAGCTTAAAACCTCTGAAATCTAATAACTATTTTTTTCTTTCTGTCCATAATATATGTTAAAATATGGATAAATGGAAGGATCTAACAACTGCTGAAAAACAGAAAATAACAGTTATTGTGTGAGGGAATGTCCCCATTGGAGATATCAAAGAGGCTTTGCAGAGATTATTGAACGATAAAGAAGGCTGCTGGAAATATAACTAAGTTATTGAGAATTTGAAGCAAAGGAAAAAAGACTTCAAGAACTTGCTTTCTCGATATGAATGTAAACTAAAGTGAGTTATAGAAAAACATCCACTTTTGAGCAGCAGCCAGAACTTTGAAAAAGCTGGAATTGAGGAAGACAAAAAGGACAAAAGGTCTAGAATACTTTGTGAATTGGGATCTGTAAAAAAAAAAAAAAAAAAATCTCCTAGGCAACCTTCTCTCCCTAAAGTGTCAAAATTGGGTCAAGAAATTGATTTTCATGGACAAATCTCGAGTGATATTTGATGGACTTGATGGATGGGCCAAAGGATGGCTTTTATCCAATTCAGACATTCCTCTGGCTAAAAGAAGGCACCAAAGAAGCAGTAGTGTTATGATATGAGCAGGAATTGTCAACCAAACTATTATTGAACTATTCAATGTTGATGAAACAGTTAAACAGAACAAACAGTGCTAACTATTGCAATTTTATGAACAAGACTTTTTTGCATGAGACAAATCCCAGTTTCAAAGTGAAGTGTATATTTATGCACAACAATGCTCCTTCTCATGTATCTAAGCTTACCCATGAATTCATTGAGCATAAAAAAAATAACGAAGAGAAGATAATGAAATAGCTACCATTGTCCTGATCTGAATCTGATCAAAAATCTATGGTTAACTGTGAAGATGAACTTATATGAAGGTGACAAACAATATGACAGTAAAACAAACCTATAGGAAGCAATAAAACTACCATGTCAGAAATGGAACCTGCTGAAGTAAAAATATTAACAAAATCAATGGATTACTGACTGTTATTAAGAAGGGTCGCTATATTAAAATGTAAAGGATTCAAAGACTTATCATGTGTGTTTGTTATTTGTTCTATTATAGGTGGTGATCAATTTTTGATGATTTTATTACCTTTTTATTGAAGTAAAATGTAATTATTTGGTTTTGCCTAATAACTTCAGATGGCAGTTTTTGAAATACATCAAATAACTTCAATAAAACATATTGATACTACCTAAAATCTGTAACTCGTGCTTTGTTTTGACATCTAAATTGTTCTTTAAAATTTGATAATTTTTTTTTTTTTTTTTTTTTTTTTTTCAAACCAAATTTGAATATGATTTGCTTAATAACTTTACACAGGGTGTATATTTTCAATTTAATATTTATTGTTAAACTGTTGATAATATTTAGTCCATTTGCATTTCTAAGTAAATAATTTTCTTCCCAATAGTCATAAACATAATTGGTTGTTTGTCAATTTTAAAAGAGAATTTCTGTGCATACATTTTGGATTATTCATTGTTTTCTTTATATGTATTTTTCATGTTGGATTTCAAGTCAACCCCATAAAATTTAAAATATCGAAACATCTCTACTTTTTCCTCATTCCTCAAAAAAGCACTTTTCTGATGAAGCTAAAACAGTGAAAAATGTCAAATTTATAAAGGCTTTTCTACTTGTTCTTTATTTAATCGTATATAAAAACAGACACAAAATACCTTTTGTTCTATCACTGAACTATTCTGCTATATGACTGTTACTTGTGAATTTGTTGCCTTATAACTTTGCTCTTTTTTTCAGGCTATTGATCAGATGAACCAGAAGATGGAGGAGGAAAACAACCAGTTGCTTTATCAAATGAAAACTTTGATAAATCAAAACCAAGAACTTCTTACTGAAGCCTTAAATAGCAAGGACCAACATGCAGAGACTACCAAAGCCTATCAGTAAGGATTCAAGAGTTTCTACATGAGAAAATATGGCATATAAAGTTTTGTCTTTACCAACAATTATAAGATGGCTAACTTGTCTCTTTTGAATAGTTGCCTAGAATATGCATTCATACATCTGCTGAATAAGGAGAAACAACTTAAGTGTACAGTATTTCCTTGATTATCCAGACAGTGTCCATTTTTATATTCATATACACTCTATCTTTGATATTGAGCTCTTTTACCTATCAATATAGTATGCCTTAAAATTATATTTTTATCATATACATACAGTGGGGGGGAAATAAATATTCATACACTTGAAAAATTGTATTTTTATAAATGTAAAGGTTCTAATAATGCCTAAAGGTAAATAATTGACTATTTCACAAAAACAACACATTTTGTCTCTTTGGAAAGATGGGAACAGTTACAGAACGATTTCTAACAACCTGAATATTCCTTTTACTACAATTGCTACGTTCATTGCAAGGTTTAAAACTCTTAACAGCATCGAAAACCAAAGATGAACAGGTGCTCTGAGGAAGATTTCTCTAAGATCCAACAAAATCCAGAGGTTACCCAAGAAGAGCTGCAGGAACATCTGCGTGCATTAGGGATTAAAGTAACCAAGCATACAATAAGTAATGAACTACACAAAAACAGTCTGAAATCACGCATCCCAAGGAAGACTCTACTCCTCTTGAAATGACACAGAGATGCTAGGCTAAAATTCATTAGAGAGCATAAGGATAAAGAATATTCATTTTAGGAAAAAGTACTATGAACAGATGAAACTAAAATAGTTGTTTGGTCATAATTATCGAAATCATGTGTGGAGGAAGGACGGAAAAGCCTACTTACCAAAGAACACATTGCCAACTGTAAAGTTTGGTGGTGGCAGTATCATGATCTGGGGCTGTTTTTCTGCAAAAGGTGTTGGCAGAATATCAATAATAGATGGCAAGATGAATGCCGAAAGCTACCAGAAAATCCTGCAAGACAATTTAATGCATTCTGTTGAGAGACTTCGGCTACCTCCTGATTGGGTTTTCCAACTGGATAATGATCCTAAGCATACTGCTAGATCTACAAGGAAATGGTTAGCTGAAAGTAACGTTGATGTCTTGCAATGGCCAAGTCAGTCCCTAGACTTGAACCCAATCGAGAATTTATGGCGATATTTGAAAATTCAAATTGGGAAAAGAGCACCAACAAATATCAAGAATTTGAAGACAATATGCCAAGAAGAATGGGGCAAAATACCACTCAATGTGTGAAAATTATTAGTTGAAACGTACAGGAATAGAGTGGTAGCTGTTGAACTCAATAAAGGATATTCCACAAAGTATTAAATTAATATGCTTTTTTTGTTTTGTACAAATACTTTTTTCATCAGTTAAAATGAAAAAATGCATTAATTTCTGTTAGAATAAGAATTAAGTTTATTACTATTTTTTAATAAAATGTATCTTTACACATAAAATGTATCAAAATTTGTTTTAGTTAAGGCTTTTACATATATAAAAATACAATTTTTCAAGTGTACAAATATCTATTTCCCCCCCACTGTATATATGCACACACACACATGGACATTCTTTTTATAGATATATTTTCTAGTTATATCTGAATTTTTACACACACACACATTGGTAAATTGTTGCCATTTTATATTTTTAATTTTTACCTGTGCATTGTATTTTTTTTTTGTTTTTTTTTTCTGTTGAATGTACAGTATAGTTGGGGCACCATCTGTGAGAAAAAGCGTACCATGATGCAATTTACTTCACCAGAAATTTGGTAATGACATGCTGTACTGCTTAGCATTTGCGCCGGACACTCCAATATGAATATTTCAGAGTGTTTGGGGTGTCAATCTGAGGAAAGTGCAGAGGATTTGGAGAGTGATTACAAAGGTGTTTGGAGTGATCACTACTGGTGTCATGTTGCCATTCATCTTCCCATAGGGCCTCAGACTCAAAAGCCTATATAAAGTGCCTTGAGGAAGTAGTGCTGCTCTGGATCAAGAGAGTAGCTGCTAGAAGACCTTATGTCAGGCAACAGGACTCTGCACCATGCCACACAAGCAAGAGAACACAGTCATGGTTGTCAGATAATTTTTTCAACCACATCACCCTTTACATTTGGCCACATAACTCCCCACACTGCAAACCCCTTGATTGTGGGACACAGTTGAGCGAGAGATCAATAAAATTCTTTGTAACACCAAAGATGAACTGAAGGCAAGGACTATGGCAGCATTCACCAACTTAGAGACCATCCAGAAGAGTTGCAGGAGTGTCTGAAGTTGTCTGGAGGCCATGATTGAAGCCAATGGCAATTTTATTGAATAAATTTATTTTCTTTAGTATTTGAAGATATTTTTGTGTAATTTCGATAAATATATCTGTTAAAATGAGATGTCAGTGTTTTCATTTTTCCGTAATTTAGACGACAATTTATCCATTGCATCCTGTGTACATGTGTGTGTGTATATATAAATTATATATATATATATATATATATATATATATATATATATATATATATAAAATATATCGTAAAACTGGAACTTTATTCATTTTTTTTCTATTTCAGGGAGAAATATGCTGAGTTAAGAAGACAGAAAGAACGACTTGAAGAGAAAATAATGGAACATTATAAAATGCGTTTAGAATCGCCTAAAAAGTAAGTTTATTATTATTTAATCTTATTTTCTCTATTTTTATTTGTAAGCACAGATCTGAAGTTGAGCGTGATTGATTCTGATATTTAGATCTGTTTAGTGATTTGAATACAAAATATATTGCTTGATTTTTTTTTTCCTTCAAGCTTATTAAAAAAAGAAAAGAAAAATGTATGTTTTAAAAATCACATCCCAAATATATTATAAATTTGGGAATTCTGTTTCTCTTATGTTTGATATAAATTAAAACTGACCATTTAAAAAAAAATGTTACCTGTCTTACAATTTTGTGCTCTAGTAAAGTATATTACAAGGCCACAATCATGTACTATTTTAAATACCCAATTTTCTCTTGATGACAAAGCAGAAACATTTAAAGAATCCTGATCTCTATATTATGTATTGAGATTTTATGAACTGGGATTTTGTGGATATTTTCATTAATCCTGTAGTAATAGATCAGTCCTTGTAATAACTAATGTGTTACTTTCACTTAGCTATTGATTAATGTTCTGTTTTAAAGTCACTTTATTTAAAATACATCAATTGTATCTTAAAATACATTACCTCTTTTTTTTCGTTTATTCTCTTTTTTTTGTTTATTCTCTTTTTTTTTTTGTTTATTCTCTTTTTTTTCGTTTATTCTCTTTTTTTTCGTTTATTCTCTTTTTTTTCGTTTATTCTCTTTTTCTCTCTCTCTCTCTTTTTTTCTCTCTCTCTCTCTTTTTCTCTTTTCTCCTCTTTTCTTCTCTCTCTCTTTTTCTCTCTTTTTTCTTTTTTTCTCTCTCTCTCCTTTTTTTTCTCTCTCTTTTTCTCTCTTTCTCTCTTTTCTATCTTTCTCTCTCTCTCTCTCTCTCTCTCTCTTCTCTCTCTCTCTCTTCTCTCTCTCTCTCTTCTCTCTCTCTCTCTCTCTCTCTCTCTCTCTTTCTCTCTCTTTCTTCTCTCTCTCTTCTCTCTCTCTCTTTCTCTCTCTCTCTCTTTCTCTCTCTCTCTTCTCTCTCTCTCTCTTCTCTCTCTCTCTCTCTTTTTCTCTCTCTCCCTCTCTCTCTTTATTCTCTTTTTTTCTTCTCTCTCTCTCTACTCTTTTTCTCTTCATTTATTTTTTTCTCTTCTCATTCTTCTTTCTCTATTTCATTTTTCATGTATTTGTTTTCATTTATTCTTTTTCCTTTCCTTTTTCCAGTCACTATTCGGTAGTTTAGCAACTATTAATTTCCACAGTGTTCCATTTAATATTCTGAATATGAGATTGGTAGGGAAAAACTAATGTCTCCAAATAGCAATTATTATATAAGATTTGGTGTAACATAAAATCATTTGCTTTATATTGAATAAGTGGTAGGGAAGGAATGTAGTAGGAGACAATATAATTTTATAAATCAAAGGTTGTAGAAAATGTTAATTATATAAATATAATTAGATATTATTTCATATTTTATTTTCATTTATCTATTGTGTGTGTGGTTCTTAAAAATATGTATTGGTAAAATGCTCACTTGTTTTTCTTTTTTTTTTTCTTTACTTTTAGAAGAAGTTTAGGTGCCACACTTGTAAGAAAAGCAAGAGGTATTATCACAAGGGTAAGTATTGTTGTGAATTTTAACATCCATTGTTTGGTGAACCTATTTCATAATCAGAGGATTTTATTTTATGAAAAACTTTAGTATAATTTAACAGACAGGCCAATCGGTAGGAGTCAGACAAAACTTGAGGAGTAAGTTTCAATGACAAAAATCCTGTATCAGGTAGAAGCCCTCCAGTTGCATAAACAAGCATCAACCAATAAATAAATTGGCTTGATATGTAGTGATCAATGGGTAGGAACCAGACAAAACTTTCATCACCTAGAGGAGCAAACACCAATGCATAGATAAACAAACATCAACCGATTGATAAATTGGCTTGATATGCAGGGATCAATGGTAGCTGATAAGAAACATAAGTCAATGGGTAGGAGACAAATAAACCATAATTACCTAGAAGAGCAAATGTCATTGACCAGAAGCTGGATTGGGTAGAAGCTCTCCAGTTGCATAGATAGACAAGCATCAACTGATAGATATATTTGCTTGATATTCAGTGATCGATGATGGATGATAAGCAACATAGACAACTACAGCAGCATGGATAAACCAATTCTAGTTAACTGAATACTACAGATGTGAAAGCAATTGATAAGCAGCATGAGTAGTAAATTTCATACCACATCGATCGTCCTGTGGTTCAACAAGTATGTCACCCTACTGGAAGTCAGGCTGGGATTGTTTATGAGAGACAGAAAAAAAATGATAGAGGTTGATTTGAGTTTACTTAAAATAAAGAATAAAAAATTAGAAAATATTGTAGTTTGAAAATTTTTAGCAACATAGTAACAAATATCAATAAAATTTATTTCTCTTTAAATTCCAACTCATTTACTTGCTTTTAGCATTCCATGTTGGATTTTTTGTGAATTTTTCAAACTATTTTTTTTTTTTTTTTTTTTTTTTTTTATTTATGTGTTAAGCAATATCTAAAGTTTGAAAATATTAACTTGTTCCTTCAGGTACATCGGACAAAAAGTAAAACTAACCTGACTAATTCTGAAAGTCCTGATAACTCTTCAGTTGGTTCTGGTTCCTATGGAGATGGCACAGATGCTGAGAGCAACAGTGGCCGAAGAATCAGTAAGTTACATTTCTTTTTTTTTTTTTTTTTTTAAGTGAATTACTAGATGAATGAAAAGAAAGTGGGTAGATTCCTGATTGATCACAAATAAATTGTCTTTATTTCATTATCACTGGAATGAACACTTATATTTCCCAACAGTTTCCCTTATGTCTTTGTTTATCAGTAGTTGTGGATTTTGTTCAGTTATAAGTTATTTATCACACTGATTTTATTTCCTTTTAATATGAAATTTAAGATTATTAGTCGATATATTGATGCAGCCTGGATGTAAAATATGCTAAAATCAGTACTGCTTAATACAAAAATAAGCAAATAGATAAAATAAATTAATAAATTGTATACTTATGTATCTTAACAAAAATTAATGTGCATAAATTCTAAGACACAATGATTTATTTTAAACAATTGAGAAAAATTAATTACTTTTCAATTGATACTTGAGCTTGAAATGCTATCTTTTTTAAAAAAAATAATGAATATTCAGTTCCATACACTGTCAGATTTTATTATGCAAGTCAATATTTTTGCAACAAAATTGATATCAATCAAGTGATGTTAGTAAAACTTTCAAGATATATTTATGAGATAGATATATCATGTGACATTCAGTTTATAATCTTTCTAACCTTATATATACAAATTTTGGAAAATTGTCCAAAAACAGAAAGTGAAGTAGTGTTTCATTAATTGCAATTTTGAATAAAATCATTTAGTACCATCATTGTTAGCCACCTGAAGAAACATTTGATTTTAACATTGAAACAAAATGTACAATTTTGTAGTGGATATTTACATGTTCTAATGTAACAGTGTATAATGTAATATATAGAGAGACCATTGAAAGTAGAAGACAAACCTCTGAACTATGTAAAGTCTTTCACCTATCTTGGTAGCAAAGTCAATTACAGTGGAACTTTAGATGATGAAATCATGCATCGGATTGCTAAGGCTACCAGTGCTTTCGGAAAACTTTGCCATCGCTTGTGGAATGAGCGGGATATTTGACTGGATACAAAAATTCAGGTTTACAGAGCTGTTGTACTTGCCATCCTTCTGTATGTCTTAGTCGTGGACTCCATACAGGTACCATATACGCCAGCTCGATGTTTTCCATAAAGCTGTCTGCATGCAATCTGCGGAGTTAAGCTTCAAGATAGGACATCTAACGTAGACCTGTTTAACAGGTTTAATTCTGGAGGAATCGAGACTTTTATCATACAGTCTCAGTTACGGTGAACTGGTCATGTCTTGAGAATGTCTGATGACAGGATACCCAAGATCCTAATGTACAGCCAATTAGATCAGGGCTACAGGAATGTAGGATGCCCATGGCTAAGATACAAAGACAAGCTGAAAAGCAACTTGTCAGCAGTCAATATACCACATAACACCCTTGAGCGCTTAGCTTTGGAGCGGGTAGAATGGAGATCAACGTGTTTTAGTGGACTCAGCAATTTTCAATCTGCTTGTCTGAATCATCTTCAAGAAACAAGAGCAAGATTTAAAAGGTCAGCCAATCTAACAGTGAACTCATCTCACAATCCTCACACTTGCTCCATATGTCGCCTCCTTTGTAAATCACTAGCAGATCTTAAATGCCACTTAGATTATCACGCAAACTTTCATAACTGAATCAATAAGCTGTCAGATCCTCATACGTCGAAACCAATGGGAGAGTCCATTATTATTCTTTTTTTTATATATATATATATATATATATATATATATATATATATATATATATATATATATGAGTTTGGGAGATGTCAGATGTTAATATACAAAGTGCAACACGCATTTTTTTTTTTTTTTTTACACATGGACAATGGAGTAATAGTTTGCTCTCTGATTTCTCAATCCAAGTTGCTGAGTTCAAATTCCAGTCAAGTTAGGTTACATTCATTTACATGCAAATACCTTTGAGAAAAGGTATGAATCCATCTCCCCACTCCCAGCTACAAATAGTAGGACAGACTGAGCCCTATAGCCTTGAGTGGCAACTGGTCTAGAGAAAGGACAATTCTGAATTCAAATCCTGAGTGATCACCAACTAAATTTGTGAAGAGAGTATGTGGAACCCCAGCAGCTCAAAAAACCATGAGCTGTTAAAGGATGGCTGAACCCCTCGGAGTCAACCCCACCTATATTTAAATAACCTCTCCAACCCACAATTGACCAAGCATGGTGAGTATGGCTATACCCCTGAAGACATGGTCAATCAGGAAGGTGTTCCTCCAACAGGAGTGAGAAGGCCTTAGATTTGGATATTGTCCTCATTTTTGTTATCACGATGTTTTGGCTGTTATGCCTCTATTCAAAAGACCAGGGTAGAGTGTGAATGAGATGATAGGCAAACCTACCTTCTCTTAATCTTATTCCAGCTTATTTTCTGTTGTTACATGAAGTTAATGTTTATTCCACTTTATTTTATATTTTTAAAAATTTCACCCCAAAACCCCAAGCAAGTCAATAATGCCACTAAAATGAAAGAGAATAAGAAGACTTTAGTGAAGAAAAAGGACAATAAAAGAACAGGTTTCAGGAAGACAGAATATGACTATTGAAGTGGCCTTTAAATTTTTGAAGATCGTAGGTGGTAGGAAAGCAAGAAACCAGAAGGAAATTCCGCAGGCAAGAAATTTCCAACTATTCCTCTGTAAATTTTCATGTATTTATTTCTAGCCTTAAGAATTATCTTCTCCTTTCTAGCATTCATTTTTGCACTTTCAGTGCTATGTACCTCACTATATTCCAGTGTGACTGGTCGTTATTCTCCTATCACGTAAGCTTCCAGCCTGACCAGCTACTGTTAATGGTTTTTCTCTCACTGACTGCAAATCCCAACTGACTAGTTCAACTGTGAAATTCCAAACAGGGGCCTCTCTGTTTATCTCTGACTACACCTGCTTTTCAAGGGTTGCTACTTCTGGCTTCTACCTGTATATTTGATTCATTTTCACATTTACCTGCAGGCTCTATAGTCTTATCTTCTCCTCTCCAAGTCATCATCAACTTGTCAACAAAGTGTCATGATAGCCTTACTAGCCATTCTGTAAAACATTTTTATTCTTGTCCTTTGTTTTAACTGATTTTTTTATCACTCTCCTATGCACACTAAATTTGCTATTAGATATTATTTCTATAGCCTCTCATTGAAATGGGTAATACATTAAACATCCCAAAAATGATTTATTATATCATAAAGACAATTCTCTCATGTATTTTTTTTTTATGCTTTTTTAATCATTTCACCCCAAGCAAAGCAATAAAGCCACTAAGATAGAAGGGATTACTGACTTTGAGAGAATATGAAAAAACATACAGTCAAACATAGCTGTGCTTATTTTTTTTTTGCTTTTTTTTTTTTTTTTTTACTGGAGCAGAACTGGGATTAATCTTGCACAAAGCAAGGTGGGTCCTACCTGGTAAAGGATTTGTCATAATGATTTGAGGCAAGGCCAAATGGTCTTTCTAACATCCAACTCAAACACTCATGGTAGTTCTTAGTACACTGTGTTTTTATTGGGGCAATCTCTAGAAAGATTGCTGTTCAATACTTTATATATATATATATATATATATATATATATATATAAAGCACACACATGTTGGCTGTTGGCTCCTATAAGAAGCTCATCTGTCCTTTGACAGGTTTTTTTGTCCTGTGGAGTGACATGCCACTCTCCTCACCAGCAGAAAAGCTATTGGGGGAGCTGTTTTAGATGCCAAACACCTATCCATGTGGCAAGTTGTACTGGGTTACATGTTACCAGTAGCAGACCTGACCTGACCTGATCCAAAAAAATAAATCATTATTAAGGAGAGAGAACAATTGACATTGCATTTATATTTTTAACGATCAAAATTGACTGGAAAGCAAGAAGCTTGAAGAGTTCTTCAAATGAGAAGTGTGAACACAAAAACTTTAACATAAAATTTATTGATACATCTAGCTATTACAACTGTAAAATGACAAAATCTTGTTGCCAATCTAGTACTGCGCTTAAATTTATAAAGTCTAGGTAACAAAGAGGAACGTTCATCAGAACAATTACCATGAAAATATTTATAGAAAATGCACAGAGAAGCTGTTACAGTGGTGGGAAGTGACTGAAGCTGAGATGACGGTAGCATTGCAGATTCTTCTTTGGGTTTTATCAAGAATCTCTAAATCTATAGCAAAAGTACCAGATCAGATATGGAAGAATTATTCAATGCAAGGATGGATAGTAGATAGATTCAGGCAAGAGACATTGTCTAGCACGAAACAGTGAACCAATTTTCCTAGCAATAGATCAAGCAATTGATTAAATCTTTAATTTTTCTCAATAAAAATGTTTGGAATGAATATTCATTAAATATTTTCTACATGGATATAAGTAAATATTTTTCAGTTTAATGAAGTCCCTCTAAATGTACTCATCTTTTGTAATTATAAAACAATAACTGAATTCATTTTTTTTTTTTTTTTTTTATTTCTATTTCTTTCATCTTATTTCTGCTGCTTTTTATCAAAATTCTCTAATCATTATTTTACACTCATTAATGGTAATGGGTGTGTTTCATTTAGTAAATTAAAACTGATTATTACTTTGAAGAGTTCAATTGTAAATAAGCATGTCAATATCTTGGAGGTCAAACAAAATATAATAGAACTATATCGCTAAACTTTAATGATTCCTACTGGTTAATGTTTGTAGTCTAATCAGTAAAAGTTATGTCACATAAAGACAGGCTTCCCTGGATAAGGAATGAAAGTTCAAATCTCATTAAAAACTTGTTCCTAATTTACTGTTTACTTAATGGTTATAGATAAGGATCTTAAGAATTGAAATAAACAGCAACATAAGATGAAAGAAATACTGCTTAAAAAAAGAACTAATAATGACAATGATTTATCTAAGAATTTTAAAGATACTTGAATGTTGGACTGTTGCACTTCAGGTTTTCTCAAAGAAAATTTTCATTTAAATTTGAATTTCATCCATTTTTTTTT